GCCTCCCGGGTTCAAGCAATTCTTCTGCCTCAGCCTCTTGAGTAGCTGGGATTACAGGCATGTGCTACCACACCCAGCTGATTGTTGTATTTTTAGTAGAGATGGGGTTTCACAATGTTGGTCAGGCTGGTCTCGAACTCCTGACCTTGTGATCCGCCCACCTCAGCCTTCCAAAGTGCTGAAATTACAGGTGAGAGCCACTGCACCCGGCCTTACAGCAGTAACTTAATGGTTTCACACTAATAGCCTTTCATTTTTGAAAGTATTTTGTTAAACTATGTCAGAACATGTTCTGTTGTTTGTTCTATTCTTCCTACTTTTTTTTTTTTTTTTTTTTTGCTTGAGACAGAGTTTCACTCTTGTTGCCCAGGGCGGAGTGCAGTGGCGCAATATCTGCTCACTGCAACCTCCACCTCCTAGGTTTAAGCAGTTCTCTGCCTCAGCCTCCTGAGTAGCTGAGATTATAGGCACCTACCACCATGCACTGGCTACTTTTGTATTTTTAAGGAGAGAAGAGGTTTCACCATGTTGGCCACGCTGGGCTCCAACTCCTGGCTTCAGGTGATGAGCCTACATTGGCCTCACAAAATGCTGGGATTACAGGCAAGAGCCGCTGTGTTTTAAAAATTGTGGCTTTTCCTGGCTTTTAAAAATCAGTATTATTGTCATAAACATAAAATGATTTTGTGTGATAAAGTAACTATAATTGACAGAGAAAATAGTACAATTTGACTTTTACTGCTAACCAATTTAAAATAATTTTCTTTGTTTTAAAAAATCAGTATTACTGATATAAACAAAGTGATTTTTACATAATAGAGTACTTATTCACAGAGAAAATAGTTAGATTTTACTTTTACTGCTAACCAATTTGAAAAATAATTTTTATTTTAAAAACCGGTTTTATTGCCATAAACAAAGTTTTTTGTTTTTTGTGTTTTTTTTAAGAGACAGGGTTTCACCACCATGTTGGCCAGGATGGTCCTGATCTCCTGAACTTGTGATCCGCCTGCCTCGGCCTCCCAAAGTACTGAGATTACAGGCATGAGCCACCGCGCCTGGCTGTTTTTGGGTTTTTTTTTTTTTTAAGACAGAGTCTCACTCAGCCTCTCAGGCTGGAGTACAGTGGTGCAATTTTAGCTCACTGCCCCCCCTGGTTCAAGGGATTCTCCTGCCTCAGCCTCCAGAGTAGCTGGAACTACAGGCGCGTGCCACCACACCCAGCTAATTTGTGTATTTTTAGTAGAGATGCAGATTCACCATGTTGGCCAGGATGGTCTTGCCCTCGTAATCTGCCCGCCTTCCAAAGTGCTGGGATTACAGGTGCAAGCCACTACACCTGGCCAACAAAATTATTTTTCTGCAATAATTACTTATAATTTACAGAGAAAATAGTTACATTAGATTTTACTTTTACTGCTAACCAATTTGAAAACTAATTTTATTTAAATAAATTTGTTTAACAAATTCTTCATTCAGAGGACTGTTCATTCGAAGAATCTTTATAGTCATCCTCATCTTTATAGTCATCCTCAATCTTTATAGTCAGTCTTTATAGTCATCCTCATCTCTGTTTTTGTATTTGTTTTTTTCCATAGCTCTTCAGTAGGTTACTTGCAACATCCAGGATCAGAACAAATACAGTTTCCTCGAACCACTTCACCATGCAATTCCCAGCAGCTTCAAGGCCACCAGTGTACAGGTATGAAGAGAGATCATCGAATAAAGATAATGATTTGTTCATGTGAGAAATAGTTCAATTAATTTCCTTAGGCATTTCTACAAAAAGGTTCTCAATTTGTGATGTGCTGAGATACACCCACAATATTTAGGGTGCTCTACTGAAATGTGCATTCTACTACTTCCTTTCCTACTACTGCTGCTATCACACGTCTGTCCTGATTCCTCTTTCTCAGAAGTATTGATATTCTCTAGCGTTATTTCCTATGCCTTCCTGTCATTACTCTTCCAGCTGTTCTTGTTTACTCCAGCTTATTTTTACGATAAGTGAGATGTTTAGGCCTACAGAGTCCATCTTAATGCCTGTTTGAACACACAGTATGATTCACTAGGGCTTCAACCTAGTTCTCTTAGGTAAGAGTAAAATTTTGTTGAGACATGTAAGATTACTACTGTTATCCTAGTGTTCAGAGATACCAACTGGTGGCTAACATATACTGACTGTAGTGTCGTTATTCTGATTTTCAGCTGTGCCACCACCGCCACCTGGTGGGGGGATGGTGATGATGCAGCTCAGTGTACCAAACAATCCACAATCTTGTGCTCACTCACCCCCGCAGTGGAAACAAAACAAATATTACTGTGATCACCAGAGAGGACAGAAGTGTGTAGAGTTTAGCAATGTAGACAGTATTGTCCAGGTAAGATGCTTTTGTTCATTATCATTGTGAAACGTTACATTTTCGTTGTACAAGATTTGACCTATATAAGGCTTGAATTTGAAATCCTGTCAAGTAAATTAATAAGATAATTTGGGCCAGGCGTGGTGGCTCTCCCCTGTAACCCCAGCAGGGGAGAGCCACCTGGGAGGCTGAGGCAGGGGGATTATCTGAAGTCAGGAGTTCGAGACCAGCGTGACCAACATGGTGAAACCCCATTGCTACTAAAAATACAAAATCAGCCAGGTGTGGTGGCACATGCCTATAATCCCAGTAAGGCTGAGGCAGAAGAATCATTTGAACTCGGGAGGCAGAAGTTGCAGTGAGCTGAGATCGCACCGTTGTGCTCCGGCCTGGGCAACAAGAGCGAAACTCCATCTCAAAAACAAAAAAAAAAAAAGAAGAAAAAGAATTTAATTCAGTATTTAAATATTATTTGCTAACTTCTGCATATTCAAAAAATGTTTTTTAACTTTAAAAGAAAAACTAGATCTAAAATTTGATAAAGAAAAATAAGCATTTATCCTACTTTTCCCATTTGACTCTATATTAATGTAACCAAATAGTTAAGGGAATGTTCTTCATAGAAGAATCCAATTAGTAAATGCAGAAGCAATGGCAGAATTAGAGAGTAGCCAGAAAATCATCAGCAGATGCAAAAATACTAGATTAAAAAGTTTTGGTCGAGAAGCTGCCTTCTTAGAAAAAAAGTTTTGTGGGATATTTTAAATGGATAGATTAGACAGACAGCCCTGAACCCACTGATCAATTGGAACATCACTAAAAACAGGCCAGCCAAACATTTACCTCTTAATGTGGTATAGAAGGAAGTACACAGCATTACGTGTGATATACTCTTATGAAATTTGAACCTGAATCTGTTGAAGCCTCTAACCTTAGCTACTAGTTTGTGGGAAATATAGGAAGAAACAAAAACAAATTACATGATACTAGTGGGATATTTTACTGGACAAATTGCCCCTGTTACTTTATTAAATGACATTTTGAAATAGAAGCTTGGTCTGTTACACATTAAAAAGAGACTTGAGAGATATAATATTAGATACAGTATGTGGATCTTATTTGGAGACTGAATGTTCAAAAGACATTTTTTAAGGCCATGTGCTGTGGCTCATGCCTGTAATCCCAGCACTTTGGGAGGCTTAGGCAGGCCTTGAACCCAGGAGTTTGAGACCAGCCTGGGTAACATGGTGAAACCCTGTCTCTATTAAAAATACAAAAATTTGGCCAGGTGCAGTGGCTCACACCTGTAATCCCAGCACTTTGGGAGGCCAAGGCAGGCGGATCACAAAGTCAAGATATCAAGATCATTCCTGTCAACATGGTGAAACCCCATCTCTAAAAAATATAAAAATTAGCTGGGTCTGGTGGTGCGCACCTGCAGTCCCAGCTACTTGGGAGGCTGACGCAGGAAAATTGCTTGAACCCGGGAGGCGGAGGTTGCAGTGAGCCGAGATTGTGCCATTGCATTCCAGCCTGGGCAACAAGAACGAAACTCCGTCCAAAAAAAAAAAAAAAAAAAGAAAGAAAGAAAAAAAAATTGTTTGGTGTGCCAGATCGCTTTAGCACCGGAGTTCAAGGCCACAATGAGCTATGATCATGCTACTGCACTCCAGCCTAGCAACAGAGGGAGACCCCAACTCAAAAAAGAGCCGGGCGCAGTGGCTTACGCCTGTAATCCCAACACTTTGGGAGACCAAGGCAGGCAGATCACGAGGTTAGGAGTTTGAGACCAGCCTGGCCAACACGGAGAAATCCCGTCTCTACTAAAAATACCAAAATTAGCCAGGTGTGGTGGTGAGCACCTGTAATCCCAGCTACTCAGGAAGCTGAGACAGGAGAATCGCGTAAACCCAGGAGGCAGAGGTTGCAGTAAGCAGAGGTGGCACCACTGCATTCCAGCCTGGGTGACAGAGCAAGACTGTGTCACAAAAAAAAAAAAAAGAAAGAAAGAAAAAAGAGTTATCCATTAGATATAAATATCTGTATACCGAAATATTTACAAGTGAAATGCTGAGATTTGCTTTAAATTAAACTTCAGGAAAAAAAAAAGCAGGGGCAATCACAGTTGAACCTAGATAATGGGTACATGGAATTTCATTATGCTTTTCTATCTATACTTTTATATACTTGAAATTTTATAGAATTTAAAGGTTTTATCTTTTGTTGAGACAAAGTCACACTCTGACACCCAGGCTGGAGTGCGTTTGCACAATCACGGCTTACTGCAGCCTCAGCCTCCTGGGCTCAGGCAATTTTTTCTCCTTAGCTTCCCAAGTAGCTGGGACTACAGGTATACACTACCACACCCAGCTAATTTTTTCATTTAGAGTTAGGGTCTGGCTCTATTACCTAGGCTGTAGTGCAGTGGCGTGATCTGGACCTATTGCACCTTCCATCTCCTGGGCTCAGGCCATCCTCCCACTTCAGCCTCTTGAGTAGCTAAGACCACATATGCACACCACCATGCCCAACTAATTTTTTTTTTTTTTGTAGAGATGGGGTATTGCCATGCTGCCCAGGCTGATCTTCAACTCCTGAGTTCAAGCGGTCCACCTGGCTCAGCCTCCCAAGTGCTGGTATCATAGGCTTGAGCTGCTTTACCCAGCCAGGTTTTAACTTTTTTTAAAAAGATAAAGGTTGGGTGTGGTAGCTCACGCCTGTAATTTCAGCACTTTAGGAGGCCAAGGAGAAAGTATTACTTGAGACCAAGAGTTCAAGAGCAGCCTAGGCAATATAATGAGATCTCATCTCTACAAAAAATTAAAAATTAGCCAGGTGTAGTGGGGTACACCTGTAGTTTTAGCTACTCGGGAGGCTGAAGCAGGAAGATTGCTTGACCCTGAGTGGTAGATGCTGCAGTGAGCTGTGATCACACTACCATACTCCAGTGTAGGTGACAGAGTGAGACCCTGTCTCAAAAAAAAAAGGGGGGGGGGGGCAAAGGTCATTTATAGATCAGCTCACAAACTATCAATGGCCACTAAACAGATGAAAATATAAAACTGCTTTTTATCGATATAATCGGAAAAATTCAGGAAGACCAATAATCTGCCATAGTAATAGTTTGGCAAAGATCAAGTTATAAACTCCCTTGGACTCTCTTTGTAGTAGTGTAAGTTGGTACAGCTCTTTGGAATGCACTTTGGAGACATTTTTCAAAATGTAGATATGCTTCTAGAACTTTGCCCAGTAAAAATTGTATCATAAGTGTGCAAAAATATGTGTACAGTATTTCTTTTTTCCCTGTTGTAATATTGCAAAACTGTAAACAGTGTTGACATTCATCAATGAGTAACTGATTTTACTGTACCATTTAGGAAAATGGCCTTATGTATGTAATACTGAAAAGAATGAGATACACCTACTATTAAGATGGTAGTTTCTAAATAACTATTCTCCATTCAAAGGAACTAGGGCTCCTTAGAAAAATAACCATTGCCAGAGTTGGTGCAGGGAAAGAACCAGATCGGTGGGGCCATCTTGCTGTGCCAGAAAGGAAGGAAGGGACAGAAGAAAAATAGGATGTGTTGAAGAATACAGAATCAGGAGTGAAGGTTTGGGGCATAAAAGAATGATAGAGGCTGGGCACGGTGGCTTATGCCTGTAATCCTAGCACTTTGTGAGGCCAACGCAGGCAGATCACCTGAGGTCAGGAGTTCAAGACCAGCCTGGCCAGTATGGCGAAACCCCACCTCAAAAAAAAAAAAAAAAAAAAAAGAATGATAGAAATGAACGATCACCCATAGAATAAAATAAGAATTCATGAATCCAGACTGATAAAAATCAATAACTGGAAAATGAAACACTGTCTTACACTAGTGTAAGTGAGAAATATAGAAGGAATCATGAAATTAGAAAATCATCACCAAGAAACCATCAGGCAAGAGTCACCACTAGATGCTACACAACCAGCGGGTGAAATTCTGATGAAAAGCATAATTGTTTTTTTAAAATATCTCCCCACAAGATACTTAAAACTACAAAGTAAAAAATTGTAACTTACAGTGGAGAAACCTGGTAGGCACCACCTCAAAAAAGCAGTTGAAGTTGAAGTAAATATCACCAGTATGACATAGACATCAGATTCCTTCTGATGTGATCCATTGAGAAGGGCACAACATTACTTCTCTGGTGTTCCTCCCCCAAATATATAACATGAATGACCTCAGGTGATCCTTTTTAATGAGGAGACAGCAGACAAACCCAAATTGAAGGACAGTCTACAAAGTAACCGATCGTCTGAAACAAATCTTCAGAAATGTCAAAGTCATAAAAGAAAAGAAAGACGTGTCGTTCTGTTTCAGATTAAATAAGATTAAAGAGCCATGACAATGAAATGAGCCCTTGATTCTAGTCTGGATTCCGGACTTGAAGGGAAACATTTTTCCTATCTTTTGCTACAAAGGATGTTAGTGGGACACTTGGCAAAATTTAAATTAACAGTAGATTAGATAATACCACTGAATTGTTAATTTTCTAGCTTTAATTATTCTATTTTGATTGTACTTTAAAAGTCCTTGTTCTTAGGAAATAGACACAATTTTGGATTAAAGGAGTATCATGTGAAATTCACTTTCAAACAGTTCCAAAAAACACAATGATATATAGGTATATATGTGTGTACACAAAGAATGAGTTAGCAGTATGTATTCTCTCATGCAGAAGTATTGGCAATGACATTGCCGAGGTACAAAGCAAGTTTTGAAAATAGGATGTTTTCATTTTTGAAATGAAAATGTCTGTTCCCATTTTTGTGAAAAATGGATGTATGAATGCATGTGCATAGAAACAATCTGTTACCAGTGTTTATTTTTGGGAATTGCAGATTACATATTTCTCTGATGTTTGAATTCTTTTCTAACAAGTACATATTTGTAATCAGAAAGAATAAAATATAAGCGTACCCAAAATGCTGACCCATTTTCTTGACAAATTGTAATTGCAGCACAGCCCTCAACTCAGTAGTCCCATTATTTCACCAGCTCAGTCGCCAGCACCAGCTCAGCTGTCCACCCTGAAAACTGTACGTCCCTCTGGACCACCACTTTCCATCATGCCCCAATTTCCTAGACCTTTTGTTCCCGGGCAAGGTAAGTGTACATGAAACCAGTCACAACTTCAGAGAATTTAAGACATCCATTCCCAATCACTTGGTAATTTATCTTGGCAATACCGCCTATTTTCCACAGGGCTGCATCTTCCCCTCCACTCAGGCATGTCTATTTGTGACCATATACTCTCCTAACCTTAATGCATAATTGCTAATTAATAATTATTAATTCAGCAATTACTTATATTCAGTAATTACATGAGCACATTAAAATGGCTTTAACTTATTCTTATAATCCATTCCTCTATAGTAATAATACAGTTTTCTACATTTATTCAGTATGTTAATTTCTATGTTAGAGTAATGTATATCAAGAATTTATCCAGGCCAGGTGTAATGGCTTACATCTGTAATCCCAGCACTTTGGGAGGCAAATACAGGAGGATCACTTGAGGCCAGTCAAGACCCTGTCTCTGCAGAAACTACAAAAATCAGAAGTGGTGGCACATGACTGTAGTCATAGCTACTCAGGGGGCTGAAGCAGGAGGATCACTTGAGCCCAGGAATCCAAGACCACAGTGAGCTCTGATTGTGCCTCTGCATTCCAGCATTGACACCACAGCAAGACTCTGTCTCAAAAATAAAACAGAAAAAAGAGATTATCCAAAAATTTATTCAGCAAACATTTATTAAGGAAATGCTATGTCCTTGGTGTATAAAGATAAATGAAGAGAAGTCCTCACCCTCACTAACCCTTAGACTTGGGGGAGCAGATATGCAAGCAGATGATCATAAACTAATATGCAAACCATTTTATTAGCTGGAATTTATCCTAAGGATAATGCACACAAAGATTTATATACAGAAGAGTTTATCCTGTAGCAAAAAAAAAAAAAAATTAAAAGCAGCCTAACTTTGATCATCAATGAGGAATATTTAAATTATGGTATATTCATGCAAGGAATATTATGTAGCTATCTAAAAAATCATTAAAAGTGGTGGCTGGCACAGTGGCTCACACCTGTAATCCCAGCACTTTGGGAGGCCAAGGCAGGTGGATCACGAGGTCAGGAGATCAAGACCATCCTGGCTAACACAGTGAAACCCCATCTCTACCAAAAATACAAAAAGTTAACTGTGTGCGGTGGCACACACCTGTAGTGCCAGCTACTCATGGAGGCTGAGGAAGGAGAATCTCTTGAACATGGGAGTGGAGGTTGCAATGAGCTAAGATTGCGCCACTGCACTCCAGCCTGGGCGACAGAGCGAGACTCTGTCTTTAAAAAAAAAAAAAAAAAAAAGTGGGGAGGGGCAGTATTCACAATATGATGAGTGATTTTTAAAAACAAGTTACACAGACACTTTGAAGTAGTATGCAGATGTCTAATAAGCCCTTGAAAAGATATTTAACATGAGTCATTATAGAAATGAATATTCAAGCCAGAATGAAATATCACTTCACATCCATTAGAATGGCTATAATCTAAAAGATTGACAACACCAAATATTGGTAAAGAATGTTCTCACTTGCTGGGCATAGTGGCTCATGCCTGTATTCACAACACTTTGGGAGGCTGAGGCGGGTAGATCACTTGAGGTCAGGAGTTCGAGACCAGCCTGGCCAACATGGTAAAACCCCATCTCTACTAAAAATACAAAAATTAGCTGGGTGGGGTGGCACATGCCTGAAATCCCAGCTACTTGGAAGGCTGAGGCAGGAGAATCAGTTGAACCCGGGAGGCAGAGGTTGCAGTGAGCCAAGATTGCACCACTACAATCCAGCCTGGGTGACGAGATTGAGACTCCATCGCAAAAAAAAAAAAGAATGTTCTCACTTATAAGTGGGAGCTAAACACTGATGGACACAAAGAAGGGAACAATAGACACTTGGGCCTACTTGAGGGAGAAGGGTGAGGATTGAAATGTACCTATTGGGTACTGTGCTTATTGTCTGGGTGACAGAATAATAAGTACACCAAACTCCCACAACATGCAAAATCCATATGTGAATAATTAAGAAGCAATGTTGGTAAAGATACAGAGCTACGAAAATTCTCACACATTAGCGGTGAGTGTACAATGATAAAACCACTTTAGGAAAAGGTATGGCAGTTTTCTAAAACTTTAGTCACTTGCCATACAATCCAGCAATTTCACTCTTAGAGGAAAGAGAATTGCAAACATTTTCACACAGTCTTGTATACGAACATCTATAACAACTTTACTTTATAATAGCTCAAACTGGACATGATCCACATGTCTATCAACAGGAGACTGGATAAGCAGATTGTGCTGTATCCTTACAAGGGTACTAGTCAACAATAACAGTGAACAAAGCAAACTACTGACACACAACAACACGATGACTCTCCGGGTCACGATGTTAACCAAAAAATAAACCAGACAAATAGAGAATATATTCTATATGATTCTAATTATATGAAATCCAGCTGTAGATAAACTAATCTGTGGTGTTAAAAATCAGATAGTAGTAGAGATGGGATGTGGAACTGACTGGAAAGGGGCTAGAGAGAACTCTTCCAGGGATGGAAATGTTCTTTATGTGGGCAGGGGGGTAGGGGGTGGGGTCATGGTTACGTGGACTTTTACAATTGTTAGAATTCATCAAGTTCAACACTTAAAATGTGTACTTTGTTGATTTTATGTGTTAATTATATCTCAATTTCCTTAAAAAGTTATTCACACACAAATGCATGTGTGAGTGCACACATATAGAAGACTGAAAAGATACACACCAAAATGTTAGAATTGATGGAATTACCAGCGTGGGTTTTATTGTGATTAGTTTGTTTGTTTTGAGATAGCATCTCACTCCATTACCCAGGTTGCAGTGCAGTGGTGCACTCATGGCTCACTGCAGCCTTGACCTCCCCAGGCTCAGGTGATCCTCCCACCTCAGCCTCCTGAGTAACTGGGCTTACAGGTGTGCTAGCACACCTGGCTAATTTTTGTATTTTCAGTAGAGGCAGGTTTTTACCATGTTGCCCAGGCTGGTTTTGAACTCCTTGGTTGAAGCAATCCCCCTACCTTGGCTTCCCAAAGTGCTGAGATTACAAATGTCAGCCACCACACCCAGCACCAGGGTGGTTTTTATTTTCTCCTTTGTAATTCTCTATCTCCAAATTTTCTACAAAGAAATTCCTTATTAAATTTAGAAAAAAGGCTGGGCGCGGTGGCTCATGCCTGTGATCCCAGCACTTTGGGAGGCCAAGGGGAGCGGATCACGAGGTCAGGAGTTCCAGACCAGCCTGACCAACGTGGTGAAACCCCATCTCTACTACAAATAAAAAAAAAAACAAAAACATGGTGGCACACACCTGTAATCCCAGCTACTCAGGAAGCTGAGGCAGAAAAATTGCTTGAACCCAGGAAGCAGAAGTTACTGTGAGCCAAGCCAAGATCATGCCGCTGCACTCCAGCCTGAGCGACAGAGCGGGACTCTGTCTCTAAATAAATAAATAAATTTAGAAAAATAATGCATATTTTTAAAAAATAAATTGAAACAGTATGTGTCATACAGTCTCATATGAATGCCACAAGAGGAACACCTAACCCAGCCCATTAGAAGGGGTCTTTGTACTGCTAACTATGATCGTATCTCCATATTTGAAAAAAACGCTATTACACATGACTAAATACTAGGTGTCTTTATCTAGGGGGTTCAAGAATTTTTAAGCAACTTTGTCTATATTCTGTTAATGCCAAGTTTTTGAGCCTCATTAAATTTTTAAAATTTCATTATTATAGCACTTACTTCTGACTCCTTCACAATTTTTTTTTTTTTTTTTTTTTTTTTTTTAGATGAAATCTCACCCTGTCAGGCTGGAATGCAATGGTGCAGTCTCACCTCACTGCAACCTCTGCCTCCTGGGTTCAAGCAATTCTCCTGTCTCAGCCTCCCGAGTAGCTGGGATTACAGGTGCACACCACCATGCCCGGCTAATTTTTTGTATCTTTAATAGAGACGGAGATTCACCATGTTGGCCAGGCTAGTCTCGAACTCCTGACCTCATGATCTGCCCACCTAGGCCTCCCAAAGTGCTGGTATTACAGGTGTGAGCCACCGTAACTGGATTTCACAACTATTGTCTATACACATTCACACCTCACTTGGCATCTTTGATCTCAGTGCTAAACCCCATATCGTCTCTGGGTTGGGAAAGAGTGTGTCATGCATATGTCCTGCCAGGGAGCTGCCCAGGCATCTTCACTGTGTTCACCCCAAAGGAGCTCTGTGGAATGGCAAGAAGTCCACACCTTGCTTCTTTCTGTTATGAAGCTTTCAGGGGAAGGAGTGTACAATTTCCTAAGGTTGCTTTCCTAGCACCTACTGATAACCCTCCTCCAAACACAAAATATACTAAATTTGAGAACTTATGATTTTAAAATAAAATGTAGCACAAACAAGAACCTTATTCTCCAAGACAAAGTTTTTGCAGTCCGCATTTATTAAGCCTTTATCCTGTGATGACTTTAGGCTTTCCTGAGTGAAATAAAGCTGTTGGAAGATCTCCATCTTCACTGATACACATTTATTGATTGAGGAAGGGGATACTTATGAATAATGACACTTAAGAACTACACAACTTTTTCTAAGCAGATTGAAATTATAAATGCAAATTTCACTTAAAGATTAAGAAGGCCGGGTGCTGTGGCTCATGCCTGTGATCCCAGCACTCTGAGAGGCCAAGGTGGGTAGATCACGAGGTCAAGAAATTGTGACCATCCTGGCCAACATGGTGAAACCCCATCTCTACTAAAAATACAAAAATTAGCTGGTCATAGTGGCACATGCCTGTAGTCCCAGCTACTCGGGAGGCTGAGGCAGGAGAATTGCTTGAACCTCGAGGCAGAGGTTGCAGTGAGCCTAGATCTCACCACTGCACTCCAGCCTGGCAACAGAGCCAGACTCTGTCTCAAAAAAAAAAAAAAAAATGCTGGTCCGAGTGCAGTGGTGTTTACAACTAATTGATCACAACCAGTTACAGATTTCTTTGTTCCTTCTCCACTCCCACTGCTTCACTTGACTAGCCTTTAAAAATTTTTAAAAAGAAAAAAACAAAAGATTAAGAAGAGCAGACTTAAGACCTAGGATGTACAGTTACCCTTTGGTTAAAACTATTAAAGTGCATTTGAGTATATGTAAATGTGTACATGCATATATGCATAAATTTATAGCAATTAATAGTGAATTGGGAAGATAAAGATTTAATATTTATCCAGAGTTTCTTACTTCCCCTGAAAGGTAAGATTTTAATGATAATAGAATGATGTGGATTTCAGCACCTCAAGTGATTGGTATGTGTGTCGTTGTTATTTTGGTGTCTTTCATATGGGATGTTAGGATTTAGTGTCACGGTTTTCTTAGATTCTTCCCTTCTATATCTTCAAAATATACAGAGAAGTTTCTCTCCATCCTGTCTCTATTCACATAGTTCCTACCACTCACCCTCATTAACCACTGTTACTAGTCCTTAATCTTTTCAGAATTTTGCCTGGGCTTTTAAAAGGATATGTGGAAATTTTAAATTCTTTTTTAAAATGTCATTTAGCCAGGCATGGTGGCTTGTACCTGTAATCCCAGCAACTCATGAGGTGAAAGGATTGCTGGAGGCCAGGAGTTTGAGACCAGCCTGGTCAACATAGTGAGACTTTATTTCTGCTAAAATAAAATTAGCCAGGCATGGTAGTTTGTGTTTGTATTACCAGCTACTTGGAAGGCAGAGGCAGGAGGATCACTTGAACCCAGGAGTTCAAGGCCGCAGTGAGCTATGATTGCACCACTGCACTCCAGCCTGTGTTGTTGACAGAGCAATACCCTAATACCCTGTCTCCAAAAGAAAAATGTCAGTTACCTATATTTTTTTATGCCACCATATTTGTTTCCCCTGTTCATGTTACTTTGACCCGTTAGAAAACTCTGGCAAGTACTTTTTAATTTTATTTTTATTTTTTTAAGATAGTCTCTCACTCCATCAGTCAGGCTGGAGTGCAGTGGCACCATCTCAGCTCACTGCAACCTCTGCCCTCCAAGTTCAAGCAAGTCTTATGCCTCCACCTCCTGAGTAACTGGAATTACAGACAGCCACCACCAGACCTTGCTAATTTTTGTATTTTTAGTAGAGATAGGGTTTCACCATGTTAGCCAGGGTCATCTCAAACTCCTGGCCTCAAGTGATCCACCTGCCCCAGTCTCCCAGAGTGTTAGGATTACAGGCATGAGCCACTGTGCCTAGCCTCTGGCAAGTGCTTTTTAACTGAGGAAAGAAAAAATGTAAAAATATGTTATTGACTTTCAGGAGATTCCAGGTATCCATTACTTGGCCAGCCACTGCAGTACAACCCTCCTGCTGTTCTGCACGGACACATTCCAAACCAACAGGTATGAAAGACAGCTAACCTGCTAGGCTTTGTTGCAGAACATCATAGCTCCCTCAGAGTGTGGTGGGCAACCCTGAGCCCACCTGTTGGCACTGCCCAAGGGGAGCTCTGTGCCCCAGCCAGTTGTTTTACATAGATTATCAGTGGCTCCATCAGGGACAGAGCAAGGGAGATGGTGTGCTGCTTGGCAGAGCAGTAATTCCCTAGTGCCACCCAAAGACAGCCAGTGGCTAGGGATTGGGGCACTCTTGCTAATGAAGTCAGCAAGCGATTGGTCATAATGAAGGACAGGAACACCATTGCCACAGAGGCAGAATTCAGAAGGCTTGGGACTGGTTTTCTTCTGCCAAAGTGCAAAACCCAAACTAAAGGTGTTTGGGTGTTACGTTTTTAAACATCCGAAGTGCATTTTTCAGCATTATTAACCTTGTTTCTCAACCGTTTGTGGGTTTTCAGGGTCAGCCTGGCAGCAGGCATGGAAACCGAGGAAGGAGACAAGCTAAAAAAGCTGCATCCACGGACCTTGGAGCAGGAGAAGCAGGTATGTCTCTGAGGGGCAACTGGATGTGGGTCTGCAAACTGGTGACAATCTACAAATACACCACAGTGGCTGGGTGCAGTGGCTCACCCCTATGATCCCAGCACTTTGGGAGGCTGAGGCGGGTGGATCATGTGATCAGGAATTTGAGACCAGCCTGACCAACATGGTTAAACCCTGTCTCTACTAAAAATATAAAAATTAGCCGGATATGGTGGTACATGCCTGTAATCCCAGCTACTCAGAAGGCTGAGGCAGGAAAATCACTTGAGCTCGGAGGCGGAGGTTGCAGTGAGCCAAGATCGCACCACCGCACTCCAGCCTGGGTGACAAAATGAGATGCCGTCTAAAAAATAAATAAATACACCACAGTACAGAAATGAGTTCTCCTCTTCCTAGAATCCTGCAGAAAGTGATAATAATCTTTGCCATCTCTGAGTTAGGGTTCTTGAATATGTTTCTGTAACCCTGCGTCATTTGAGATGTGAGAGTATATATAGTAAGGTGCTGGTAGATTTATTTAGGAGGGACAGAAGGGCCAAAGGGAGATGTGTGAGAGGAACAAGTAGAGTGACACTCTTAATCCTCAGTTCTTTGAGAAAGGGTTTGTCCTTAACATCCATGTGGGAGAGAGTCTGAATGAACAAATACATTCCCTCTCTGTGGTAAAGTGCTTTCAGGTTTGTACTTTAACTTTCTACTCAGCAGCCTTGTGATGTTGTATGGGCAAGTACTTTTATTTTATTTTCCAATGGAAATGTGAAGTTCAGAAAATTGTTTGCCTGAGATCACCTAATTTAGAGAAGCCACTGTATAATGCTTCATTTTATTTGTGCAACTGCCAGTGAAGACTGACATCAGTAGCTTCGTTTTATTTATTTTGTTTTATTTTTAAGATGGAGTTTTACTCTTATTGCCGAGGCTGGAGTGCAATGTCGAGATCTCAGCTCACTGCAACCTCCATCTCCCAGGTTCAGGGGATTCTCCTGCCTTAGCCTCCCAAATAGCTAGGATTACAGGTGCCCACCACCACCCCCAGCTAGTTTTTTGTGTTTTTAGTAGAGATGGACAGGGTTTCACCATATTGGTCAGGCTGGTCTCGAACTCCAGACCTCAGATGATCCACCTGCCTCAGCCTCCCAAAGTGCAAGGATTACAGATGCACCCGGCTTGATAGCTTTAACACTATTAGCTCTATACCCTTTGCCTACAGGCTAAGTAGGAATGATTTAAAAGATAGATGTCCCTGGCCAGGTGTGGTGGCTCACACCTGTAATCCTTGCACTTTGGGCGGCCCAGGCAGGTTGATTGCCTGAGCTCAGGAATTCGAGACCAGCCTGGCCAACATAGTGAAACCCTATCCGTCTCTACTAAAAAGCAAAAACAAATTAGACGGGTGGGGTGGTGTGGCAGGTACCTGTAATCCCAGCTACTCGGGAGGCTGAGGCAGGAGAATTACTTGAACCTGGGAGCCAGAGGTTGCAGTGAGCCAAGATCATACCACTGCACTCCAGCCTGGACAACAGAGACTCCATCTCCCCCCTAAAAAAAGATAGCCCTAACAACTTTAATTTTGTGGATTTGAGTGATGTCCCATGTCATATTGGGTCTGCAGTGCTTTTTTTACCCAACTCATTTTGGTAACAGGGATGTATTAATTCTGCACCTTTTCTATTCTAGTTGTTGGGAAGGTCTTGGAAATTACTGAACTACCAGATGGAATAACTCGCATGGAAGCTGAAAAGCTTTTTGGGGAACTCTTTAAAATTGGCGCCAAGATCCGGTGGCTCCGGGACCCCCAGTCACAGCCACGTCGTCACCCCCTCTGCTGTGGCAGCGGGGACAACACTGTCAACCCTGAACGCTCTAAACCCAGTGACTTGGCCTCCACCTACACGGTCTTAGCCACATTCCCCTCCATTTCAGCTGCACAGAATGCATTGAAGAAACAAATTAACTCAGTTAACAAGTTTAAACTGAGAACAAGCAAGAAGCACTATGACTTTCACATTTTGGAAAGGGCAAGTTCTCAGTAACACCCACCTTTGGACCCTTCACCTTTATGGTTCCCCTGCCCTCTCCCATCTTTGATTGGCTTTGTATTTGGAGCTTCTGTTAACATTATAGATACTCCTAGGACGTGTGGTCATGGTGTTAGCTTTTGAAGAAAGGCCAGTGATCCAGCAAAGGGGGGAAAATACGTATTTCACCCCACATGACTGTAGGAATCCACATCAGAATGATACAAAGTTAGCAGGTTTTTCTAAGGAAATGCCGTTCAAATGCCTCCTAACTTTTATAGTTATTTTGTTTTATATTTGTGAATTCTTGTATCAGATCCAAAGCTCTATTGTATAGCAAATTATTCTTCAAAATGATTATAACCAGTTGCAACCTGTATTTCTTTTTGCAGCCAGCACAATGTGACCCAACTTAAAATGTGGGGGAAAAAGAATGCAGGAGTGAAATAACCAAGTCAAAACCATGTACTGTCTCTTTGGGGGTTAGGGATGCTAAGAAGAGACCACAAATAGAGGATTACTCTTCCCCAAATCTCTAAACTCAGAAACATTTGCCAAAAAATACAGAACACTTCCCTGTAGGATCCTTTCCTTATTCATTTAGGTAGTATGAACATTAAGTATAAAATAAATTATGTTCTTAATGCCTCTTAAACCACTTACATTAAAAGGAGAACAGGAATCATTCTAAGCCGGAAAATACTTCCACTTTTTTTAAGTATCTCTCTAATAACTAAATGCCACTTACTTGCATTCCCCTCCTTGTGGATTTTTTGTCACCTAAGGAAATGCATTTGATGAGTGCTGGAAACTTCTTAAGTGGTTTACAGTTTGTTTTCGTTGTTTGCAGCGGATCACTGGACATCAAAGATTCATTGCACTTATGAACAAGGAACCTTCTTTTCAATTTCTGTGTAATTTGCAAGGCTGTACAATGTGTGCTGATGCAAGCCTTTTTCAGTTCAAGAGAATAAATGTTTACAAATATAGGCTCACTTTGTCTTATTTTTTTTTTAATAACACCTTTTAAATGATTGTCAGTTTTGAAGACAATAACCTTTCTGAAAGATTTAAGTCAATTTCAGATTTACAGAACATGAAAAACTGTAAACAACCTAATGTACAAATGTCCTAAACATCCCTTTCTCTGTGGCAGTGATTCCTCGTGGATATGATTCGTATTACTGTGTTCTTTATCATAAAGTTACTACCAACTGTGAAATTTGGGAGTATGAATGAACGTACTTATTGTCAGGCAACTAAAAACAGAACATTATGTTTGGTGAGATAAAAATTTTGTTTTTAGGCTGGACGCGGTGGCTCACGCCTGTAATCCCAGCACTTTGGGAGGCCAAGGCGGGCGGATCATGAGGTCAGGAGTTCAAGACCAGACTGGCCAACATGGTGGAACCCTGTCTCTAATTTAAAAAAAAAAAAATTTTTGTTATTAGCTTATGTATTGTACACCCAATTGTTCACTTAGGCTCAAATGCTTTATAGACATCTTTTCCCTTTGGTTAGCCAGGCAAAGTCACACTGCTGGGAAATCTAAAAGATGGGGTCTGCCAGCTGCAGTTTGCCTGGAGCCTGGTTATCTTTCAGCCCAGACTAGGGATTTTACTGTGAAATTGAAGAGCACTAGGTGTTGCCAGACTCTGGTGCAGATGTGCACTCACTCTAGAGCATTTGCAAGGTCCCACTGGTCCCAGAGAATGGTATGCCTCTCCACCAACTAGCACATCCCAATTGTGAATATTGTACTCCTGGGATCAAAAGTTGGAGCTGTCTTAGAACCATGTTAGATTAAGGAGTCATACCTGGGGGAAAGAGTAAGTGTGAGGTCTGTGAAAAATCTCTTGCTTCCAAGGCTTGTTGAATTTTAATATTTTTGACCTGTAGAGAGTCAAAGATGGAGAGGATATGTAAATAAGGTTAGCATTTCAGCAACAATTCGTCAATCATACATGGGGATGGAGACCAAAAAAAGTCACAACCTCATGGTTCTTGCAATTAATTTTTCTTTTTTTTTTTTTTTTTTTTTTTTGAGACCGGAGTCTCACTCTGTCACCCAGTCTGGAGTGCAGTGGCACAGTCTCAGCTCACTGCAACATTAGACTTGGGTTCGAACAATTCTGCCTCAGCCTCCCAAGTAGCTGGGATTGCAGGCACCTGCCGCCATGCCCTGCTAATTTTTGTATTTTTAGCCGATAAGTTTTCGCCATGTTGGCCAGACTGGTGACCTCAGGTGATGTACCCTCCTCGACTTCCCTAAGTGCTGGGATTACATTTTGAGCCACTGCACCTGGCCTGCAGTTAATTTCTCTGGAATATTCTCTTTAGGCCCGGCGTGGTGGCTCATGTCTGTAATCCCAGCACTTTCGGAGGCCTAGGCAGGTGGATCACCCGAGGTCAGGATTTGGAGACCCAATGTCGACTAAAGACAAAAATTAGCCAGGAGTGGTGGTGGGCGCCTATAATCCCAGGCACTCGGGAGGCTGAGGCAGGAGAATCACTTGAACCTGGGGTGCAGAGTTTGCAGTAAGCTGAGATCATGCCACTTCACTCTAGTCTGGGCAAAAGAGCAAAACTCAAAAAAAAAATAAAGCCCAGGTGTGGTGGCTGGATCACCGGAGGTCACGAGTTTGAGACCAGCCTGGCCAACATGGTGAAACCCTGTCTCTACTAAAAAATATAAAAACTACTGGGGCACAGTGGCAGGGGCCTGTAATCCCAACTACTTTGGAGGCTGAAACAGGAGAATCACTTGAACCTGGGAGGTGGAGGTTGCAGTGAGCTGAGATTGCACCATTGCACTCCAGCCTGGGAGACAAAGCAAGACTCCGTCTCAAAAAAAAAAAAAAAAAAATGATCTTTAACTCCTGCAGTAGGAGTTCTGGTAAACTCCAGTTTTTGCTTTAAATTTTTAGTTTATCTTGCAGGAGTTGAATACTGTGCAAAGTAAATAGGTAAGACACTAGACCTGAAAAAGATCAGAGGCTATTGTAGAGTTAACTCCCTCCACCACCACTGCATTCCCTGACAATCACATGGAAATAATAATGAAATTGCCAACCCTGCCACCATTACAAACGTATATGCACGTTTCCTAAAGAATACTGGTTTGATTTCACCCACATAAGAATACTGGAGGGCTGTAAAGAAAAGGCAGTGGGAACTTCTGAATCAGAAATCTAAAATCTTATTTCACCTGTGTAAAAATGATGGGAGGCAGAAGCAGACACAGGAGGCACTCAAGATGTGATTTGGTCTAGACTGGAAATCTTAAAGACAGCTTCAGATGTTCCACAGCCCTGGCAATAATCCTTATCGTGGGTTTTTCCAGACCACTGACCATTTTTAGGGGTACATATTACTTTTACCAATAAAGTGTTATTCTTTCTTGTGCCAATATTAGCAGCTTCAGCAACCATTTCTTTGGGAATGATAGTGATCAGCTCATAACATTCTGTTTATGCTACTTAATACTTGAAAACAAAATACGGCTTATGGTTTTAAGCTCTTGGTTTGTGAAGAACATGGATATATTGGGTATGTGTTTGTGATCTAGAGTACAAAGTGTGTTTGCCATGGTGCCACAGGTAACTAAAAATTATTAGGTTGGGCCGGTCACGGTGGCTCAGGCCTGTAATCCCAGCACTTTGGGAGACCAAGGTGAGCAGATCACCTGAGGTCAGGAGCTCAAACCAGCCTGACCAACATGGAGAAACCCTGTCTCTACTAAAAATACAAAATTAGCCAGGTGTGCTGCTGCATGCCTATAATCCAGCTACTTGGGAGGATGAGGCAGGAGAATCACTTGAACCTGGAGGGCAGAGGTTGCACTCCAGTCTGTGCAACAAGAGCAAAACTCCACCTCAAAAAAAAAAAAAAAACAACTATTAGTTTGGCATCAAAGCTGGCAACAAAATAGGGATCTGAGCCTTTCCCAAGCTAGGAAAATTTTTTTCCTGATCCCACTAGGGAGGGCTTTACAGGCTGTGAATAGTGTAGAAACAGGCCTCTGAGTAGAACCAACAGTTCCAGATTAGCTTGGGAAAAGTAGAGGCAGCATATCTGCAGCTACCTTAGGAAACAGCTAAGTTGGATTCTCTGCATGCTATCAACAACAGAAAACATGCTAATTTAAGACTTCAGCAGAGGCAAGGCCCCTACTCCCAGCCCACTGCCTGCCCAACAGATAATATGTTATCTATAGTCTTCAAAGGCAAAGAGCATGAGTTCCATCTTCTAGGGCACAGTGAAGTGCTAGCACAAAGGCACTTTTTACATGCTGGTGGGATTCAAAGCTGGCCCCTGGTTGCTTGGGATTCTAGAAGCCTTTAACAGCTGATGCTAAAAGAACCTGAGGCTTTTGCACACACATTCAGCCCATGACCTTTACCAGCTTGAAAAACAAATACAGCTGCCCTTGAATCCACCCCCATGTCCACATATGCTCAGGCTGCACGGTGCATATTTGTTCATTATTTTTCCCTTCAATGTCTTTACTTGTATTCATTTTGGTTTGATTTCACCCACATAAGAATACTGGAGGGCTGTAAAGAAAAGGCAGTGGGAACTTCTGAATCAGAAAAATGATAAAATTTGGTTATTTGGAGGGTGGGGAAGGAGAAGCATTGAAATAGATAAACCATTAACTAAATAATTTTTTAATGTATTTATTTTTTGAGACCGAATTTTGCTCTTGTTGCCCAGGCTGGAGTGCAATGGCACAACCTCAGCTCACTGCAACTTCTGCCTCCCGGGTTCAAGTGATTCTCTTGCCCCAGCCTCCCTAGTAGCTGGGACTACAGACACATGCCACCACACCCAGCTAATTTTTTGTATTTTTGGTAGAGATGGGGTTTCGCTATGTTGGCCGGGTTGGTCTCAAACTCCTAACATCAAATGATCCACCTGCCTCAGCCTCCCAAGGTACGGGGATTACAGGCGTGAGCCACCAAACCCAGATAAATTTTTTTATTATTTTTAAAAAGTACAGTTGGCCAGGCATGGTGGCTCAGGCCTGTAATCCCAGCACCTTGGGAGGCCGAGGTGGTGAATCACCTGAGGTCAGGAGTTCAAGACCAGCCTGGCCAACATGGTAAAACTCCATCTCTACTAAAAATACAAAAATTTGCTGGGCATGGTGGTGGGTACCTGTAATCCCCACTACCTGGAAGAAAGATTGCACCACTGCACTCCATCCTGGGCAACAGAGCAAGACTCCATCTCAAAAAAAAAAAAAAATTGCAGTCAGGGGAAGTTATATTATCGGCGTCACAGCAGATCAATCAGATGTGGATAGATGAGAACAAAAATATTTGAAGAAGGAAGCAGAGGTAGTGTGAGCAAAGTGATGTTTATGACAGAGTGGTGATTGTGTCAGTCTTATTCATCATTTTGCAGAAGTATTAAATGCTGTACAGATTAGCTGCACTTTAGGAGGTGTCAAAGAAAATGGCCGGTGACAGGGATTCGGTAAACATAGATGAATTATTTGTCCCTATACATACATATGATAACCTAACAAAAATAAAATGGAGGCAAAGATTCCATTTATAGTAGTAAAAATAATAACAGTAGTAGAAAAAGTTGAGGTCTAGAGTTTTTTAAATTGCTATTTTTATAGTATACTAAGACGGCTTTCCAGGTGAAATAACGGCTCTGAAATAAGCCACGCCATGTTAAGTATTTTCAAAACTGCACTCTGTGGTCTCTGTCTTCTCATTCTCCTCCTGCTTATTTCAAATGAAAGAGGACAAGGTACAGTAAACAGAAAACTGGATCTTGTTTTCCTAACATCTTTGTCTATAAGGCAGGGAAACACTCTTAAAAAGAAGAGTATGTTCAAATTAAAGTCAGTGTTTCCTGTTATCAATCAGTAATTGTATTCTAAGAACAAAAGAGACATTACTAAACTTCTTAAAATAACTCGAGGTATACTTCTTGTATTGTGAACACTTGTTCTGGAATAAACAGAACACTCA